GTTTAAGACATTGTGATTTAAATAATATCAACAAAATTTCTGTGAAAAACCGAAACCGGAACGAAACCGAAACCAAAACCGAAATAAATTTTGAAGAACGAAACCAAAACCGAAACCGAAACACTTGGCAAAACCGAAACCCAAACCGGAACGTTATTTTGAATCGGTTTCATTCCTTGGTATATTGCAAGAAAACCGTAAACTTTTGGGCAAATATTTGATTAAATACATGGTGATGCAGAATTTTATCTACTTTCAACTAACTAAACTTCTTTATACTTTGAAATTAATTTTTTGGATTCATCTCCAATATCGATATCAATTACCCCACTGTGCGATGTTATGCTGCCAACACGCTTGGCTCTCATATTTGTGTATATGTTTTAGTATTAAGGTGAAATTAGTCCAGAACGTTAACCTACCGGTATGTAGTCCCGAGTCAGCTGACACGATCTGCCTTACCACAGCGCCATGTAAATGAAAACTCAACACCGCAGAATTTTTCTGTAGTTGTAGCCCGTAGCGCAGAAATCTGCGGAATTTAGATTTTTCCGTATCAGCTGATTTCTTCCTTTTTTGTAGATGGTTGCCACTTCGTCAGTTTAAAATATTTGAAATTTACAATCGAATAAGGTTTTTTGTTGAAAAATAAGTAGCATCCATTATAGCACCAAAAATTGTAGTTGAAAAGGTAAGTTTATGAAAAGGCATTGATGACTGGCAACACTGTAGTGAGCAACACTGAGGGCTCCAGAAATCGACAAAATTCTGCATATACAGACAGCGTTTAAGTATAAGTTCTGCTCTCTTGACTAATTTCACCTTTAGTATTTTAGATGGACATCCACATTTTTTCTTTGTCAATCTAACTTCGTTTCTTTACATATTGCGCTTCAAGTATACTTTCTCAAAACCCTATTTTTGATTCGAGTAAAATTGTTTCTCAATGAGTAATGAACCGATCCCTTAAAAATGTTTCACACTTTTTTAATACAGGGTTTACTAGCGTTTAAAAATAAATTTTCCTATAATCTCAGTTCTAGTTTTACAAAGCAATATTGTGCAAATTTTTCAGCACCTTCTTGTGCACAATCCCAAAAATTTTAAATTATTTTTATTTTGTTTTTATCCAAACATATGTATATATTTAAGTGTGCTCTGCCCAATCCACAAGAAAGGTGACCCCGCCATTCGCGCCAACTACCGCGGGATCAGCCTTCTAAGCATAGGCTACAAGGTCTTATCGAGCGTATTGTGCGAAAGACTGAAGCCCACCGTCAATGAACTGATTAGACCTTATCAGTGTGGCTTTAGACCTGGCCAATCCACCATAGACCAGGTATTCACAATACGCCAAATCTTGGAAAAGACCCGCGAGAAAAGGATCGACACTCACCACCTATTTGTCGACTTTAAAGCCGCTTTTGACAGCACTAAAAGGAGTTGCCTATACGCCGCTATGTCTGAATTTGGCATCCCCTCAAAACTCATACGGCTGTGTAAAATGACGTTGAGCAATACAACCAGCTCCGTCAGAATTGGAAAAGACCTCTCCGAGCCGTTCGCCACAAAACGGGGTTTCAGACTGGGCGACTCCCTTTCGTGTGACTTCTTTAATCTGATGTTGGAGAAGATAATAAGAGCTGCAGAACTGAACCGCTCAGGAAC